GTGATACTAAAAAGTTTAAATCAGAGTTAAAGAATTATCTACATGCTCATTCCTTCTACTCTTTAGATGAATACTTCAATGTAAATAGAGAATGATGTAAAATTAAGTTATATTAATTTTTAAGCTAAAATTGCCTGTACTTATGTATGTAACCTTTTGACTTGTTCTGTATCCAAAGGTACTAACCTGCTTAGGATTTATAGAATGTAAATAAATTCAATTCAATTCAAAATATTAGTTTTGTTGTGTTGCTCTAATGAAATCTGAGAAGGTTGACAGATTTGTAAGGCTTTTAAATATGAATTTTGATGGGAATCAGTCTTTGGATCTCAGGTTATGAAATGACACAGTATAACAGAGGATTCTGCTCAAAACTTATGAAGCATGCTTTTGTAGAGAATCTTAGACCCAGAGGTCTGTTGCTGTTTTTGTCATTGCTTGTAGCATGCTTTCCTTGTTTTGAAAGAATGAAAGTAGTCTGATGTGACTTCTGTGCTGTGTGTCTGTGTATCCTCCAATCTTGACTTTTGATTGCCTGAACAAATCTGTGTGAAACTTAATATCTGTATCACAGCACAGAGCTCATCTCAGCAGCATACTACATGAATCACCCCCATCAGACTTTGTGTCTGTATGTGTATCCCTCTTACCACTGCTAGGAAATGCTTGGTAAAGTGTATCCCTCCTTTCGTTGCTAGGCGACAGCTCAGTAAACACATTCCCATGGCAACAAATACAATACAGAAGAATTGTTGGACACATTTATCTGTATCCCCCTATCATTGCTAAGTAATGATGCTCCCACAGCAACGAAGAATGGTGATGTTATTTTCTGTGTGGTCCATGTTGTGTCAAAGGAAAATAAGTGAATAATTCTTTCCAGAATTTCTCATATTATATTTTCTTTTTGTCAAGAAATTACTTATGTGCTGGTTCAGTGGTTGTTGTTGTTGTTGGTTGTAACTTCAAATTTTTGCACTATTGTCATATTTATAACTGTTGATGTGTACGAACAGTATGTCATACATGATTTGTAAGTATATGTGTGCCTGCCTATCATTGTACCCAATTTGATATGCCTAGCTTGAATAGTTTATTAATCATTACTATTAGACTGGAAGCTAAGGACATTTTTTTACATCCTATAAACAGATTACACTGAAGTGCCAAAAGTCATGGGATAGGTACCTATTATCATGTAGGACCCCCTCTAGCCTGGCGAAGTGCATCACTCGACGTGGTATCGATTCCGCAAGTGGACGGAAGACCTCTGGAGAGATGTTGAGCCATTCCGTCTGGATAGCCACCCACAGCTCCCTGGTATTTGTAGGTGCAGGATTTTGGGTGCGAATAGACCTTTCCACCATGTCCCACAAATGCTAGATTGGGTTCATGTCGGGCGAACGTGGTGGCCACACCATTCGTTGGAACTCTCCAAAATGCTCCTTGAACCAATTCTGGACAACACCGGCCCGATGACACAGTGCATTGTCCTGCTGGAATATCCCATCATTGTGGGGGTACATTAAGTCCATGAAGGACTGCAAATGGTCACCAAGCAGTGTAACGTAGTGGTCACCGGTCAATGACGTGTTTAGGTGGACAAGCGGACCCAACTCATGCCATGTGAACACACCCTACACCAGTATAGCACCACCAGCCTGCATGGTGCCTTGTTGACAACTGGGGTCCATGGCCTCATGGGGTCTGTGCCACACCTGAACCCTACCATCCGCCCGAAACAACTGGTACCGTGAATCATCGGACCACGCCACATGTTGCCAATCCTCCAGGGTCCAATTAGCGACGTCACAAGCCCAGGTGAGGTGCTGTGTCCGGTGTTATGGTGTTAACAGAGGCACTCTGGTCGGTCTTCTGCTCCCATATCCCATGGAAGCTAAAGAACGTTGCACTGACCTGCTGGATATGTGCCTGGTACCTCCTGCATTGAATGTGGATGTGATTTCAGCCAATGTCGCTTGTCTGTTACAACGGACAATTCTAGCTAGATGCAGCTGGTCATGATTATTAAGCACCCGTGGTCGGCCACTACACTGTCCACGGTGGGTGGAAATGCCTTCCGCAAGGTATTCCTGGTACACACGTGACACCGTTGATCGAGGAATGTTGAATGAACACACAGCTTTGGAAATGGAATGTCCCATCTGCCTGGCACCCACTATCATGTCCCGTTCAAACTCCTATAATTCACGTTGGTTTGCCATGAGCAGACTGGCTGGTGTTCAACCTGACTCACGAGAGAAAACCTCACAACTGATACTGCTCTGGGCATTCCCAAGCCGTCAAGGGACAGTGGCACCACTTAAAAATAAATTTACATACTGCTATTCCATGACATTTGGCACTTGAGTGTACATCAACAGAGTTCCATATTTTTCCAGGAACTCTTTGTTTATAGTGGTATTGAATTGAGGGGACAGTTTTCCCTCACCTCAAGCACCGAGACCACTGCTGGGTCCAGTGTGTACTGCAGTTTTTTTAGCGCCCTTCACGGATCCCTGACTAATGCTAAAGACAGAACGACCCTGACTGAAGTCGTAGTGATACCCGCTTGCTCTAAACATGCATAACCAAGTATCCCTATTCTGTGTTTAGCCAGAGCTAGGTATTGACAAAGTTTATGGATAGGAGAATTCCTCTTCCTGTCTGCATTTCCAGCATGTGACACTCTCTGAGTGGTTCAGAACATGTAACTGCTGCCTTAGTGTACACTGGCCAGTCAGAAACCCTGTTACATGCTTACATTGTTTCCTATCCAAGACCATTATGTCCCTTGACAGTTTGTCCTAAGGCCTTTCACTGAAGAACTTTGATTGCCTCGCACCTGGTGCAACAGCCAAGTGTTCAGAGAATGTGTTCTTCAGCCACTCCTTAACCTTGAGCCTACCAGCAAATGGTTCCAGATCAAGGAATGAACTTAGCCAGGGAATCAGTGTACTCATTACCCTAAATCCCACTGTAACCAGGGACCCACACAGTACATTCTGTCACAAACTTCAGTGTCACCTCAGTGCCTTAATGGTCCACTGAGATACATTTCTATCTGAACATATACAAATGTGCCCACCTCTATAGGCCTTTCCATCACTTCTCTATACAGGCTAAAAGTTCAGAACTTTCTGCCTGGAACACTACGGCATGTACAGTAAGTCCTGGTCATATCACATGCACCTGCTGCAACCTTCCAACTATTCTGGACCCATCTTTGTATCATATGAGTTCTCTAGACCATTGAGTAGTTGG